TGGCTGAGACACGGATATCATATACGGGCCTACGATCCCAAAGGTGGGCTCGACAACGCCAGACGCCTCAAACATCGACGTGTTCTCTGCCGGGGTGGCCAATCGTGGCGCCAGCATCCGCATCCCTCGCACGGTGGGGCTGACCAAGATGGGCTACTTTGAGGACCGCCTTCCAACTGTGACCCTTACATCGTCACAGAAGCTCTGGTGCCTACTTGTTTACTCAAAGAAGAGGGAGAGGAGCCCACTGACTACAGGACATGAACAGTCTATGACAACATGTCATTACCAGTACTGTATTTAGCCATGTATATTTCAAGACTTGATCTTTACCTTGTTTAATTTCTTAATTGACACGGCAAAGAATAATTGAAGTATTCCCAACTCTTGGTGCATTTACTTGTATGCAGCAAAGTGTTAGGGTGACCATACATCCTCTTTTTCCCAGGCAAATCCTATTCTTAGGAGCTAAAATATGTATAACAAAAAGGTTGACGTGTTGCTACAGCAAACTTTCAAAAAGTTGAACTTGTTCTGCATGAATGGTTCTGATTATTGGCAAGTTATCGATTTGCATTAGAGACTAATAAAGGATTTAATGAATGAGAACAAGCTACAATAATAAAACTGGTGAAACTTGGGGTGGCGATGGTGCAACGGATGAGACTATGAGACTATGCCTTTGGTGTGAGAGACCCAGGTTCAATCCCCCACTGTGACCCATCCACTGTGTCCCTGAGCAAGACACTTAACCCCTCGTTGCTCCAGAGGCGGGTGACCTCTGACATGTATAGCAATTGTAAGTCGCATCAGATAAAAGCTTCAGCTAAATGAATAAATGTAAAAATCGGTGCCACCAATTGGCTACTTGAATCCCACCACCCTGAACTTGCACCCACTGCATGTGTCTGTCTGCCTCCTCCCCTCACTGTCCTCTTTTTTGGAAACCTCTGGCACATACATTGCCTTTTTGCCAACGCATTGTCGAGGTGTCATGGCAGATGATCATTTGTATAGAATTACACTGTGATGAGAGGCAGGTTTTGTAACTGACCCAAAGGCATTTAAATGTTTTAGCAATCTTGGCATCTGTCACAGTGGTGCTTTTATTATGTTGTGGATGGATAAGGTCACTGTGTAAGCCAATCTACTTTTGTTTTGTTTTTAAAGGCTGTTTTTTCACTTGTAATTGTCATTTAGAAAAAAAAAAATCTTTAATAAGCATTTTTACTTGACTCCTGTTATGAATCTCTGAAATGTAACCAGCATTAATGGAGAAAGCAATGTAATGTTTAACAAGTGGTGGTTAATTAAGACCAGGACACATCCACATCATCCTCAGTCCTACAGCTGACAACATTGCTTGCTCATCTGTGTCGCAGGTGAATCCAAAGTGTGTGTGTTACTGTTCTCAAACCTATGACCTAGCACTGAAGTTGGCCAGGATGGGGAATTCCTGCCAAAATCTGTCTGAAGAACTGAGAATTGAACATGGAGAGGGATTGCAGTTCATTTTGAGCAGTTAGTTGTACAGTTCCCTGTGTAACTCACCATATCACATTAAAAACTAAATATCATTTCACCAAATTTGACTTAAAATCTCCTGTGCAATTTGACTCGATGATTCTATTTCTGTTTTACAGAGACACTGACTAACTGAACTAAAACACACACAATATGAATGCATTACTGTATGTTCCATTATTGTAAGGTCATATGCTTAAAAACATGAACAACAAAGGCAGAGGAGATTTACTGCTCTTCTGCATTTTAGCCACTAGATGCCACTGTCTTATCATAGATCTTTTTTTTGCTATAGACTCCTGAAAGAAAGTTGTCCAGTTACTTTCTGGTCAGAAAAGATTGGAAGGATTTTATCTTAGATAATTATGTAATTAAGTATTTAAATGAACAAGGGATGTCATTAACTTGTGTGGAATCTCAGCCCCTGAAAGTGTTTGTTCTGGAGGTTTAATTTCATGTGATTTCCGTTTTACGTAGACAGAATAAAGCTCGTTTACTTTGTTGCATTCTTTACAAAATCAGTTACATTGTTCCTTTGTTTAAGCCTCGTCTTTCTTTCTGTTAGCTGTAAAACATCTGGCATACTTTTCAGTCTCTCAGAGGCTTGCTACACTCCCCTGAAGCTAGAAATTAGGAGGCCCAACACAGATGTAGTGCACATGTTTTAAATTAAAAATAGTATGCACAAACATCACTGTTGTGTGTTATGCTGATTATACATTATACGTTTATTCGCAAATATATTATAAGTATTGCAGAATTGTCCACAACCAAACCACAATCCCTTTTTCTGCTTTTTCTTTGACCACTCTCTGTCTGTCAACATCAAGCCACTAGCAAGAAAATGTGTCCTTTTTTTCTGCTAAATTGAGGTTTGGCAATCAATTTGAGTGGGTACTACAAAACTGCTGCCTTTTTGACTAGTTTTCTGTAGCGTTGTAAACAACCTCATAAGAAAGGCCACTCTTTGGTACCACAGCAGCATTTGTGTGCTTTTAATTTGAAGGTATTGATTTGTTGGGCATCTCTTTCTTTTACACAGGTGTTTCTTGTCTTCCCTGAAATGTGTTTGTGGTCACGTTTGCATGTGTTTTCTCTCACTGCACAGCGTTTTATAAATGTGTTGATTATTGATTCGGGAGCTATCCAGGTGTTAAAATACTGAAAGAAGGGAAGACCATCCTCAAGTTGACTGATCTTGTGTGGAAGCAAAGAAAGGTTTTACTAATCTGAATTTTAGAAGCAACTGAATACCCAATTTTGCACCACTGATGTATTGAAATGTATTAGTCTAAACAACATGTATGGTTTGAATGTATATGGTTTATACCCCCATCCATGACATTTTTACAAAAAACTTATTTTATGTGTTGTTTTTTCTTGGATCACATGACTGGCAGAACATAACCTCATGGGTTTAACTGACATGATTTAAGCTATATAGTTTATCGTTGAAGTCTTTGAATTTTTGGTCTCAGAATTTCACCAGTCCAGTTTTAGCAATTTTTGACTCGATTTTTTAAGATCCAAAACCAAATTTATCAACCACAGTATAGTTTTTTGAGGATTGGACACTTAATTCAGTGGTGTTTACATTTCAACTTAGTTTATTCAGTAGAGGTTACATTTTACAGCCAGGATTCAGTTGCATTGGTTGAATTAATTTACAGTTTATATTGGCCTTTCTTTACTTCCATTGTAAGTATGTGTGTCAACCTTGCCGTAATCAAACAGAAAACTATTACTAAGCACACCAACTTTGTAATTCCAGCACAACAGAACATTCTGTTGCTGTGCAGGCAGCCAGATGAAAACATATCTTGTCATATTTTCATAATCTCTCACTGTTGCCATGCAAGATTTACCATTTTTAGGCCTTCTTGGGTTCACTGAAAAATGATACTTCCCATCAGAGTACAAATATAGTTCAACCAGCTCTAAGAGGACAAACTTGTTTTAGAGGTGCCGGTTGTCTGACACTTTCTGAAACGCCCTGAAACCAGCCATTGTTCACTACTCCTAGTTGTAAATGCTTTTGTACAGCAGCCAAAGATAATGGCAAGTTCATTAAAGACTTATCAGTTTAAGCCATGTGGTAAATATGTCCTAAACACTGTATATGTGCCAAATATTAAGCACAGGTTTAAAAAACAAAAAACAAAAGAGTAAGTTCATCCATCACAGGCCTGAGGTACTTGTACTTCAATTCAGTATTTTCCATTTGCTGCAACTTTATACTTAAACTCCACTGTGTTCCAGATGGTTATAGTCACTTTGCAGATTCTGATTATATCTTACAAAACATGATGTACTGTTGTAGATTATACTACAGTACAATGTATAGTAGTAGATGAAATTAACAGCTCAACTGCTAAAAATTAAAATGCTGCTTACATTAATGAATCACAATATTTCTCCCAGTCCCTTCCTGCAGCCACACATTCCCAGCACTCTCTGTATTTGTCCTGTCTCTCAAGCCATCTTCTTTCTGTCAACTCCCCAGACCTACCGTCCTCACGATCCCCACCAGATGCCCTCAGACGTTTCCTTTTTTCCCATCACGTGACTGCCCCACACATCTACATACCTGTTCCCACTTCTCTCATCAGCCCTGCATTTACCTGACCCACTTTTCCCACTCCTCATCTACAACTTATTCTCTCATCAGCCTCTCACCTTGTACACCAATCATACAAGTTCACTTCTGTGTTTGTTGCCAGTTTCACTCTACTTGTTATGCTCTGCCCTCTATTTTCTGTTGATATGGCTACACACTCTTAACTCTTAAAGTCTGTAGTACAGCTGTACATATCACAGCACAGTATAATGCTGTATGCCAGTGGTGGATGACAAATTCTGATTCTATAAGTTAAAGCAGCAATACCACACTGTGAAAATACTCAACTACAAGTAAAGGTATGTAAGTATTATTGATGAAATGCACTTAAAGTATCAGAAGTAAAAGTACTTATATGCAGAAAAATTGTTCTTCAGTGTTTTACTTATTATTATGTCGGATTAATGTCATGGGTGCATTAATGCATTGCTAAGATGTAGAGAAGTTGCATAAAATAGAAATACTCAAGTACCTGTACTAAATTTTGTAAGTTACATTTACATACATTGTAATATAAGTGTTTATAACATATATATATGGCTTATAACCGAATGTTGTCTTTAAAATAATCACGTTTGGCGTCACTAGAGGGCGCACCACTTGTTATCAAATAACCTTACCAGTCGAAATGTGTCTCTTTATCTTTGTGTGTCACATTTTAAAACCTGTTTGATTTCGCTTTTTGAATGTTTTTTCATGCTTCACATATGTTGATAGGTTACTGAGTTTAAAGCCTCTCGTTGGGGTTTTCTCATAGCCTAGACAGAATTGTTTTCTTTTTGTGTTTTTTTTCATAATTCACCACAGATACAGAGTGACTCCGCATCTCCTCTTCACCATCTGATCACGTTTTTGTTCGGCCAATCAGAGGCGGCGGGGGTGCTCAGCAGTGCTATAAATCCAACGTGGAAGCTGAGAGGAAAGTAGGAATGAAAAACAATAGACACCTTCACACCGACCACACATCTAGAGCCTCTTTTAATCTCTTGATATTTTTCTACACTTAACATAAGGTAAGGGATTTCAGACTGTTACATATTTAAAGACAGATGTGGCTGGATTTATTTCTACAAGAGAAATCGAAACTTCCGTCCTTTTAAAAAAAAACAAACAAAAAAAAACGTGTTAATGTAATGTTTGAATGTAGTATTAGTGATTCTTTAGTGTAATTCAACAACCATGTGCATGAGAGCAACAGATGATTAGACAGAGTCATCATTCATGTTGCTGTTGTTTAGTCTGTTATAATGGAAGTAGTTGCCTTGGAGATTGTCCTTGTCAATAACAGTTAGTTAAACCCTTTTTTTGTGCCAAATGTTTGTGCTTTTCATAACATCCCCTCTGGTTGTGTAGATAATTTCTCATGCGCATTCAGATAAAGTGGTTCCACTGTGGGAAGCTCATCTGTCCTCTTCACCCTGTAGGTTTTGTGGTCAAGAAAATGGCCACCTCAACCAGTTCAAAACTGAACAAAGCTGTTAAACAGCAGTACATGGATCTCCCTCAGGGGGACATGGTCCAAGCCATGTACATCTGGATAGATGGTTCTGGAGAGGGAGTGCGCTGCAAGACCAGAACTTTGGATTTTGAACCCAAGACAATTGAGGGTAAGATCTGGCTCCTGTATGATCAATACAAACATCTAAACTAGCATACAGTCGATCATGGTTGAAGATATTTAAGACTTTGGACATCAGTGATTTCAAATTTCTGTGTCAGATCTTCCTGAGTGGAACTTTGATGGCTCCAGCACCTACCAGTCAGAGGGCTCCAACAGCGATATGTTCCTGATTCCTGTAGCCATGTTCAGGGACCCATTCAGAAAAGACCCCAACAAGCTGGTGCTCTGTGAAGTGCTCAAGTACAACCATAAGCCAGCAGGTGACTGAGCAGAGCAGAGGAACAAATCTGAAAGTCATTGCATTTAATTTTAATTTATAACATTTAATTTAATACTCTATTGTTGTTCCAACAGAGACTAATCTGCGCAACAGCTGCAAAAAGATCATGAGCATGGTGGAGAATAACCAACCGTGGTTTGGTATGGAGCAGGAGTACACACTCCTGGGTATGGATGGACATCCCTTTGGCTGGCCCTCCAACGGCTTCCCAGGTCCACAAGGTGATTATCGGTTTTCTAGCTTTTCTCATTGTTTGAAATATAATACATTAGCAATCCTAGATTGCCAGCTGAATGTTAAAATTTAGTTCTTTCCACCTGATTAGGGCCCTATTACTGTGCCGTGGGAGCAGATAAGGCTTATGGACGAGACATAGTGGAGGCACACTACAGAGCCTGTCTGTATGCTGGGGTTCAGATCTGTGGAACCAATGCTGAAGTCATGCCAGCTCAGGTGTGACCCTGTTTATTTTTTCTGTTGTCCCACATTCAGGGTATTTTAAGTCAGTTGAACTGTGTCCCACCAGTTTATAATGTTGTGTCTGTGATTCAGTGGGAGTTCCAGGTTGGGCCTTGTGAAGGCATCAACATGGGGGACCATCTGTGGGTTGCTCGGTTCATCCTTCACAGAGTGTGTGAGGATTTTGGAGTGGTGGCGTCCTTTGACCCCAAACCAATCCCAGGGAATTGGAACGGTGCCGGCTGCCACACCAACTTCAGCACAAAGGAGATGCGAGAGGAAGGTGGACTGAAGTAAGAATCACTTTATTGTTTCAGTCTATTAAATGGCTAACTATTGTATGATTTTTGAACTTGGGTGTTTTTTGGTTTTAGTGTGTCACTAATTCCCTCTTTGCTTCACAGAATCATTGAGGAGGCAATTGAAAGGCTGGGGAAGAGACACGGGTATCATATACGAGCCTACGATCCCAAAGGTGGGCTCGACAACGCCAGACGCCTCACCGGTCATCACGAAACCTCAAACATCGACGAGTTCTCTGCCGGGGTGGCCAATCGTGGCGCCAGCATCCGCATCCCTCGCACGGTGGGGCTGACCAAGAAGGGCTACTTCGAGGACCGCCGTCCATCCGCCAACTGTGACCCTTACATCGTCACAGAGGCTCTGGTGCGCACATGTTTACTCAAAGAAGAGGGAGAGGAGCCCACTGACTACAGGACATGAACAGTCTATGACAACATGTCATTACCAGTACTGTATTTAGCCATGTATATTTCAAGACTTGATCTTTACCTTGTTGAATTTCTTACTTGACAGACAAAAGAATAATTTACGTATTCCTGCGGTCTTTGTGCATTCGGTTGTATGCAGCAGGTTGTCTTTGCTTCTGGCACATACATTGCCTTTTTCCCAACGCATTGTCGAGGTGTCATGGTAGAAGATTATTTGTATAGAATTACATTATTGTAATGTGTTAACTTGTACTAAGGAAAAACTGTCTTAAGTGCAGCAGAATTTGTCTGACTGTAAGGATCCCAAAGACATTTAAATATTTAGCAGTCTTGGCCTCACAGTGGTTTTATCACGTTGTGGATAGATACGGTCACTTTGTAAGTCAATCTACTTTTGTATGTTTTTGTAAAAAAAAAAAGCATGTCTGTGCTGTTTCCACTTGTAATTGTCACTTGCAAAAAATCCTTAATAAACTAACATTTTTACATCTGTCTTTTGACTCCAGTTTAATGTCGCATGTATCCTGTCATGCTGACACAAACCTGCTTAGCACATCCAGACTACCAGCTGATAGAAATCTCTGAAATGTGACCAGTGTTAAGGGAGAATGCACTTGTAATGTTTAGGAAATGGTGGTTAATTAAGACAAGGGAACATCCACGTGATGCTTATTCAAACCTCTAACAGACCAAGTCGCAGCATTTGCTAGAAAATCAATATAATGTCAAACCTTTTGAGAGGTTGGACAGATTTTTGTAATTTACTGTAACGGTACTGACTACTTGCCACAGGTGAATCCAAACTTTGCGTATAACAGTCTTTCTAGTGTGTTCTGACTTAAACTTATGGCGAGTAAAGTACAGACAGGATGGGGAGTATTTCCAAAATCTGTCTGAAGACCTGAGAACTGAACCAGAAGGGGGATGGCTGTTCATTTTGAGCAGTTAGTTGTACAGTGCCCTGTATAACTCACCATATCACATTAACTACTTAAACAAGTTAACTAACATAATTTCGTAGTTAGAGTAAATAAATTCTATAAAGACAACTTAAAGGGATTATTAATACTTAATGCAAGGCTGCTTATTAACCATCACCACATTAAAAGGCCCCTGCATACTCTATACTCCTTTAAAACTGAGTCAGTGTCGTGACTGTCTCCAATTTCACTTGATTTGTACCATGTTACACATGTCATCTCTTAGTTCGTATCTATTCCTACAAATGTGTTAGAGTAAATATACACCCTGTACTGAGCTGATGAGGGTGAGTCATTCCTCGCATACAGGAATGTTTTCTTGCCAAAATCATAGGATCAGATCCTCGCTGAGAATCTTATTCCAAACATATTTAGTGAACCCAACAACCACAAATGGGGTATTGTGTGTAGGAAGTTTTCATCCATTGAACTTAAAAAAAAGTTTCTCGACTCTAAAGGGACACACAACAGTTTTATTGCAAATTCGATGCGGCATTCATTTCGCGCTGTGGTTTGAAAGATTTGAAACATGCTTTTTTTTGAGTTTGGTAATTCCTCACAGATAACATCGTGTCTGCTATAATTTGTGTGCATCGTGTCTGAGTATATTCTGAATTTCTGCTTGTCTGCTCTTTCATGAGGTTGCATTCTTGTTGTAACTAGTAGTAGTTATAGTTACGATGGCAGAAATCCAATCCAATTGTTCAAATTACTGCTAATAACTAAAAATTATATTTATATTATATATCTAAAATAAGATTGTCTTTGAGTGGTTTAGCATTAAGCCTAGATTTAATATGAACAACCCTGTGTGTTTGAGACTTAATTTTACTCTGAGGGCCATGAACTGGGATCGCTGGTGGCAGGAAGGTGACAATGTGGCCTAGAGAGCCTCTCCAAGTCAGTGTCCCTGAGTGAGACATAAAATTTTGTTCACTAAAAAGGAATACACCGTCAACAAGATGCGTTTAAACAGTTTATTGATGAAAGTGATCAACTCGGCTGTTGTCCTTCCCTTGCATTTTGTGTTGTGGGGTAGCTTCGGTAGGGAATCTGCCATAGCATCCGGGCACAAGGTTAAGGAGTGTTAGGTGGGTGTTTATGGGAATGCCGGAAGTATGGAGTTGTGGTCCTGCTCCTAAAACTATGCTAAATAGCTTCAAAATATAGAGATATATATGAAGGGATAAACAAGAGATAATAAGTAGAACATAAATGCATAGACAACAAAAGGAAGACAGAAAATGAAAGGGGATCCTTACATCCAAAGTATTTAGTTTTCTAAGGGAAAACTTTTAATCTTGGATGGCCCCAGTGTTAGTTTCATGCCATGCTATACTCATTGATCTGTACAAAATGATGCCATGATGAAGAACTTGCAGTGCTATGCTCTATTAAGCTCGGTGTGAAACATAAACCCATCCTGAGGTTCTTGAGCATAAGGTAAGGTACTGTAAATCCCAAGTTGGTTACCTACCTTCATTGAGGACGCAGCTGTAAATTTGGGGTGTTCTAACTTTATTTGAACACAGTAATGTGCAAAGTCTTGTAAGCCGAACTTCTTTCAATTTAATTCCATAAAGGCAATAGTTCTACATATTCTTCTTCTTGAAGTAGCATGGACGCCCTTAAATGAACTGGAGTCACAGTGAGTATAGTGGTATTTGCTTGCAGCAACGTATTTGACAGCAGTCTTGAGAATACACCAAATTCGATTTGTCTGAGTTTACTGCCAAACGAAGATCACGTTGCATTGGCCTCCTTTAATTATGTCTACAAGCTAAGCAAGATTTTACTGCACGTAAATGCCACTTGCAAACAGACATATTGGACAGAATCACAGATATTCAGTCAGTGGCATATTTTGTCACTTATTACTACAGTGAGAGACAAATTAAGAAGAGTCACCTGTATTACGTAGAAACTCTGACTGAGGCTATCATTGAAATGCCTTTTCTTACGTGTGAATGTAGTGTACTGTATATTTACTGTTGCACAACCTACTGATATGTCCCTAATGACTGAGGGAGCCCCTCCTCAGTTTCTCCTGTGTAATTTGACTCCATTATAGGCTACTGGGTGTACAGAGTGGTGCAAAAGTGTGTGGATACTCCACTTTGGCAACAACATGAGGATAGTTTTTTTATCCAGCACTTTTCATCCAACTGGGCACTGGGATGTGCGTGTCTTTTTTATCATCGATTAATAATATGAGGGCAAATTATGATATTTCAGATAAGTTAACCTGGGCTGATAAACTGGAAGGAGAGCAGGTTTCATGAAGAAAACATTACGCCTAGAGCCTCGTTTCCATGGCAGCCGAAGTCTAAGCTCACGCAAGCTGGTGTGTGGAAGAGAAGTGGGGGGTGGGGAGCTATACCAGGCTATTACATAACAAGAGGCAGGTCAAGAATATGCATAGCGCTGAACAAAGAACATGTATTTTACAAAACGCAACTCTGGCTCTTTTTAAAAAATGTCCAGGAAAGTCATTGTAGTATCGCATATCAAGGCACGCCACATAATCTAATTTCCCCCTTTTGATCACACACAACACAAACTATTCATTGTAAATAAAGAGGCATTTGCACTTCAGTCAGTTGCTCTAGAATCAATCAGATATCTTGAATCCAAACAGCAAATGAAAGCACCTTCCTTGACTGCGTTAGCGCTAATCTCATCAAATAAATGCTGTCTCTTCCGCTTTGGAGGGCCTATCGCCACAATATCACCACTACCACTGATGACACAACAGACTTTCTGTGTTTTCTGTCCCACCCCTCCCCCTCCAACTCAACCTCAAAGGGCCTCTTCCCCTGCGGCGGTGGGTTTGGGGACATGTAGTGAAAACTGTCGCAGCATGGCTGGCCTGATTGTTGGAAACTTGAGCAGCTGTTAAAGCAGAGCCGCACTGTGAGACAGAGAGTTTAGAGAGCCCCGGATGGAGGAGCATGGAGATCAGACCACCATAAATTGTGACCAACGTCATCAGCATATCAAACAAACACATGGCAGTCGTATGATTAGAACTGTCCTGAGTGCCATGATTAAATCTGACCTCAAAGCTCAGCTCTTATCTATGTAGATTTCATGTAATTGCTAAAATACTCCAGCTGGATAATGGGACACAACAACATTCAATTCAGCACAAAAAAAATGTTTAGACAAGGAGAATCCTTGTGTGTTGTCCTATTAAATTTGGCAGTCCTGCTGCGCGTGCACCACAGCTGACTGTGTGATAAGAAACATAAGAGAGCAGAAATGCTGGTGACAGGCCTAAGAACAAGCTCAATGCAAGATATTAGTCCTGGCTGATTTGGTGACCTGTATAGTTGCTGGTAGTAACAGCAAATGCAAACTATTGTGCTTTTAAGAAAAAAGTCTTTTTTTCCCCCCATCATTCTGTGAACAACCCTGATCTGATTTTATGCTGCACACAGCATGAGTCTGCGAACAGCATGGCGCAGTGAAAGGAGTTGGTTACCTCGCTGAGAAGTTGGAGGTGTGCAGCCTGTCGCCTGCAGCTCTTCTGCTCAGTGTGGCTGCTCCATTACTCCCTGCAAAATTTCAAACTGATCTGCTGTCAAAAAAAGACCACTGTCTTGTTTTGTTCACTCAATTTTGATGAACACAGCAGTCAGTGGTAATCTCGCTGACAAATACATTGCATTTCATGTGACTACTTCATAAGATACAAGATAAAAGGTGGATTTATTTGTCACAATCTAACAGCTTATAGAGTGAAATTTAGATTGTAACTCTCTTCTGCTACGTAGCAGACAATTTACATTAATATAGAAGCAATTATAAATATGGTAAACTATAAATGTGAATTAGAGTTTAAGAGTCTGATAGCTTGGGGGGAAAAGCTGCTCTGCAGTCTGGTGGTGTGGCAGCTGAAACTTCTATGTCTCTTCCCAGAAGGCAGCAGGGTGAACAGGCTGTGGCTGGGTGGGTGGGTACTGTCCTTTAGCATCCTTTGGGCTCTGCAGGCACCTCACCTCACCAATATCACTGCTCGGGAGATGTATACCAATGATCTTCTGAGGAGTTTTAATCACCCTGCAGAGCTCTCCGGTGCAGGGCCGTGCACATCCCATGCCAGTTTGTGATGTTTCCAGTCAGTTTTCCGTTGCTCCTCTGTAAAAGCTGACAAGAGCTTGGCGTGGGAATTTGGCCTTCTTAAGCTTCCTCAAGAAATACAGTCGTTTCTGAGCTTTCTTCACCAACCTGGAGATGTGAGATGACCATGTCAGATTCACCTGCTCCACCTCAGCTCCACTGATGTAGACTATGCTACTCCACTCAGTGACCACACCCTTGCAATTGAAAAAGGGAGACATAAAAAGTCTGGTCCTGGGACAGCAAGTGGCTCAGCAAAACAGTTGCACTTAACGTTTGCTGCGTTTTGTTTTGTTGTAATGTATAACTGCTAATTTGAGTGGTTTTGATTAGATTAATCTTGTTATGTCATATTTAAATGTAAACTTTTGGGATTTTGTTGCAAACTGCT